AAAAAAAAAAAAAAAAAAAAGAAAGAAAGAACATTATGCGTGAACTATAGAGTTGGTTGAGATGTGCCTCTTCACCCCATTAGGGTGCCAGATCTAACTGCTTCATTCTAGCACTCTTCCCATCTTATCTATCAACCTAATTAACATAAAATATGAATACCATGAATACCATCTTTTCCTCCTTTTTTGACTTCATTCATACCCAAACCAAGCCCTTGGGACCAGACTTAGTGCCGAGGGGGGAAAAGCGTCTGGGAAATCCGATAGTGGACGTGGGATAGTTGGATCGATCATAGTCCAGTCATTAAAACAAGCTTATAATTGCGTCTCAGCTCTTCCTCTTCTCCTCTCCTTGCCCCGTCCCATTCAACCTTCCCCATTTCCCCCCCCCGGGTTCCTCCTAGCCAACATTGGTTGAGTCGTTGAATGTGCTGCAGGATTTCTTTTGGTGAGGATATAAATTTTATTTTTTCTTTAGACTGTTCCCATTTTATATTGATATCAGTTTGTATTTGTTGCTTAACTGTGTCAGTGAGTTCTGGTCCATCTAGTCTGACTCCTTCCATTTCACTCGTACAGCTTCTCAACCATATTGCCCATAATACCGCTGTCATACCCATAGTGTATATATTTTGTGAGAATTCATCAATAAATTCAGGGGACCAGGTTTCAAGAAGAAAGGCTCTCCAGTCCCATGGCCATTGGACTTTTGTTTCCAAATTAGACCAAATACGGTCTCACCATCTCCATAGCCAAATTGCCTCAGGACACTGTAAGAAGACATACTTGATTGTCTCAGGAATTAACTTAGAAGAAAACGCAGACTTACAAAATTTACACCATGGAAGGTTTTTCCCTCTTTGTTTCAATGTCGACCTATCTATAAGCCAGTCATTTGTGGGTAGACATCTATGCTCTATTTGCCATTATAGTGAAGCCACTTTTGCAGGTTTAATTTTGGTCGTACTAAACCATTTTACTTTTCTTAGTGATTCTTTATTAACATTAAGATGCTTCATCCGTTTTTCTTCAACCTTGTCCTTTAAAAAAATCTTAGGACAAAGCATTCTATAAGTGGACTTCACCGTTAACGTGTGATGAGTACAAGAATACCTTCTTCCTTTCCTTTCCGTATTAGACCACTTCCAATTTGCAGGATCAAGAGTCAGATGACTTATAGGTGTATTAGGTTTAAAGGCTATCCATTTATCTTTGTACTTCAATACTCTGATTCTGAATACTTGCTCCTTTGTCACCTTCTTTATACTATTATGGTCCTTGATTATAACTGTTTGATTACTATCCATTTCATAGGTAGTAAAAAGAATCTCCCCATCCTCCAAAACTATTACAATACTACCTATGATATTTGATTGATCATTCATAGCAACCCAATCACCTTCTAATAACTGAGGGCCCTTTTTTTGAATCCTTACTCAATCCAAAGGCATCCAGTCAATCAAATTTTCTAAAGCTTTCTCAGAATGATGGCAATACCTAAGGTGGGTCTGTGATTGTGAAGGGGTAATCCATTCTCTCTCTTCACTGTTCCAGATGTCTTTTATTCTAACAATACCATTTTTAATCCACCCTCTCCAGGGAGAATCTGCACAATGAAGGACACATCCTTGAGGATCTTTAAGAAGACTATTATTAAAAAGTGGTTGTTGACATATCGCTTCCCATCTATCAGGGGGGTTTTGGTCTGTTAATGGTAATCTCCTCCATGTTTTAATGAGGTTAGTCCAAAACGAATCATTATGTAAATTCTTTCTTGCCGCCTTCCTTTTTGATACCCTTTGATCCATTGGTTTATTCACTATCCCTCTTGGAGTGGTCCAAAACCTGTTTTCAAGCCACATCATTGGATCTATGTTGTCAGATGTTTTTGGTGTCAGACGTATGATTTGTTCCCATGTCAATCCACTCCAAGGGGTCTGGGGATTAAAGAGTAGGCGTTTCATCCATTGAATCGATAGGGCCATAGCTTGTAAAGAAAGATCAATGATGCCTAACCCTCCTCTTACCTTGGGTTGTATCACTGATTGTCACGCTAACCTACTAATTACCTTATCAAGCTCATTGTTCCCCCTCCATAAAAAAGAAGATAGCTGACGTTGCAGGGTTCTTAGTTTTTTTTTTTTTAACACCCATATTGCTGATTTATACCAGATCGAGCCTAGAACCACATTATTTATTACCAGAGTATGACCAAAGAGAGAAGTATGCTTACCCTTCCACAGTTCCAGCTTAGCATATGCCTGTTTGGATATACACTCACCATTAGTTGCTGGTCTTTATGTTGCTGAAAGAGAAATACCCAATACCCTAATAGGAGTATCTAGTGAAAGCCATTTTACTTTGGGCAGTTCACTCACTCCTTGATGATGAATCCACCAACCCATCGTTTTATTACCCCAATTTACCCTCATGTCAGATAGTCTACAAAACTTATCCATCAGACTACTTATAGCTTCCATATTCATTTTAGATGCTTCTACCATCAGGGATAGATCATCAGCAAAGAGAGAGCAAACAGGAATAGCTTCCTCTGGAATAGATGACACTTGAATTCTTTTAATAACCTTATTTTGTCTGAGGTTAGCTGCTAAAGCCTCCATGATTATGACAAAAAGAAATGGGGCGATTGGGTCCACTTGTCTCACTGATCTCTTTAAGGAGATAGAGGGAGCTATATTGCCATTTACCATTTCCCTGGTTGTAGCATTCCTATGGCGCCGGTGTTATTGTTTGAGTTTGAAAATGTGCAAATTTAGCGCAGACGGTTGAAACTGCGGCCGTTTTTCATAAGTGGCACGAACGCATATTTAGCAGCGGGGTCCTTTTTTGGCCCTGTTTTGATAACTGCTAAAGTTGCCTATTAGAAATGCTGGGTGTGACCCGGGAGCCCTGACCCCAAATTGAAAGTACTATTAATAAACCACCAGTACATCCAGCTATCGGGCGTGGACCCTTTTTTGAGGCTACCCGCTACCGATTCAATTTGTCGATGGCACTTGGCCTCCGAAAGTTTTGTGGGGGACGAGTTTTATTTTCAGCGAGGCTTGGGCCGTGTACTGGCGGACTGAAAAGCAATAAGAATTAATGAATGAGAGAGAATAATGGAAAAAAAAAAATTGGCAACCGTTACCTTGTGGAAGTGTCGGACGTAAGACTCTCATCTGTATGGTTGTGCACAAAATTTTGCGGCTAAAAAAAAAAAAAAAAAAAAAAAAAAAAAAAAAAAAAAAAAAAAGGATTTGAGTGTCAGAAGGGTAGATTTTTAGAAGAGTCAAGAATAGTAGGGTTCTGGAGTAGAAATATTTAATATTCTCTATTTTTTCGAGTGCTAGAAGACATACACGAAAAATTAAAATCCATAAAATTTGTATTTGGTTGGGTGTCAGTGTGAAATCATCAAGAGATAAATCCATGCAAATAGCTGCAAATGATGACAAGGTAGGTGGGAGAAAAGAGGCACAAGAAGAAGCAGAGACCCCCGATCGCAATTCGGCTCGTGAAATATGCTCAAATAAAGCACCAGCCAAGATGGCGAAAGAACGCGCAGAGGGCCATAGACATGAAGCTCATGTCGCGACGTGCCTGTTTCGATCGATTTGCCACTACCGATCCTCTTCAGGGGTAAGCGCACGGTGAGACACTACGAATAGACACTGTAGCAGACTTATATTCCTACGTCAAGCGAAAAACTACGTATCATGGAATAGGAAGAGTCCGGAAGTACTAGTAACAGAGGGTTTCAGGTAGGTACAAAAGAAAAAGACATAAGTTCCGGGAAGGGTACAAAAGTTCCGGACCAAAGGGTTCTAGGTAGATACCAGGGACAAATGCAGATGGTCCGAAAAAAATCACAAGGCCCAACGGGTGAAGCAGCAGACCCACTTTCCCAGACACCGCCAAACTTCAGGTTGAAATTGATCACAGACTAATCAAAGAACTCATCCAGGAAATTCCGCAACGTGAACTCCATCTTGATAGACCAAAGGAAGGGAGCTTCACTTGCAGGAAGAGTTCCCATAGCCATAGCCCTATGAAGGAAGGAAGAGATTACCGCCATCTTTTGTGACTTCGGACAGTAGGAACTGAAATCCTGACGGTTCTTAAAATTATCTTGCCTTGGTTTAACAACT